ACAATGTGTTGCGGTTTTTAAACATTGAAACTCTGAATGTACATGATTTCATGCATATTGTAATATGATTAAAGCAAGGATCATTTTAACTGAGCATCTCAAGTGATTGACAATGTTTTGGAGCTCTTATACAGTGTAGCTTTTCTATATATATAATTAAATGCACATTGTAGTAGGAGAGGAAAGAGATTGTTTCACATTGTGCATTCTAAACCATGAAAAATGTATTGAGGTTCTCTCACAGTTCAGATCTTCTGTGTATGTGAACTGTATGCACATTGTAATAAGAACAGGAAGAGATTGTTTCACACTGTGCATCTCAGATAATTGACAATGTCATTCAGCATAGAAGATAGTGCTATTGATGACATGAATCAATGTGTCAGCCCTAAAGCACACTGCACTACAAAATCTTGATTATATTGTATATTTTAGTTGGCTTGCAGGCCTTGATCATTCTTGTGAACAATATCATCTAAAGAGAGCTCCACAATCTATAATGTTAAATGTGAATTGAAAATCATCAATTTGCTTAAAATACAGCAGGCTTGTCCTGTGATAATGCACAATTATATTATAAAAGAGACATGATATGGCAGACCAGCTTCAGCTATATCACAGTGATAGGCAAATCAATAATTACACAATTTTTTCCTGGGATCACTGAAAGACTTCAAAGCTATAAAGAATAAATCAATAAATTATTCAGTACACATCTCAATAGTATGGATGACAAGCTGACTTCAATATATGAACTCAGCTTGACTCGCATGGTAACTTAAGGAATTAAGCCAGGCTGAAACTTGGACAGCTCATCAATCTATATAATGGCATTATATAATCACTAGTATTTTTCAGAGCCCAGCTCAGCTTCAGCAGGCTCAAGTTTGTCAGAATTGCTAGGTGGGCCCTCTAACAGGGCTTGAGCTCAGTTTAAGCTCATCCTGGCCTACGCTTCAGGCTTGTTACAGGCAAATGTACTTTGTGTCTGCAGTTCAATTATTGATGTAAATGCATGATATAATCATCATTTATCCATATTGGATCATCTCTCATCATTGCTCAGGCTTGACATGTAGTGTGGTCGATGAGCTGAGCCTAAGTCGCAAACTCAGCTCAACTCACACATTGAGTCATTCAACTCAGAGGATCAAGCTGAGCTGAGTTCTTGACTCAGACAGCTCACTCATGATAGTAATAGCTAAATTTGGACATATCTATTATATAAACAAAATATTTAACTCAGCACCATAGCTGCGCACACATTTTCGAGCACATCATGGCTACATTGAAGCCATGCAAAGTTTAGAACATTGTAGGTACATGACAGTATTAACTTTGCCAGTTCATCCTTTTTGAAATGAACAAAGGTAGATCTCGAGGCATTAATTGGACATACGTGCACGTTTGCTTGGGGGGCCAGAACTACCTGTAGCAGAACGCTTTCGAGTGTCGCATATGGCCAGCTGTCCAAGCACCCACAGCACGTCTTCAACAGCAAGTGTCACATCGACAATTTGTGCATTCGAGCGAGCTGCTGCCACCCACCACGACAATGAAACAATGGCCAAGAACATACCATTACATCCACCACGGTCCAATCCCATCCAATTCAAGTCCTGCTCCGTGTTCTGTAAAAGCGGCCACTCCACACGCTGAACACGTCCGACAGGCTGAATGTTCCTCCACCAACCCTTCCAAGTTTCTGAGAACATCTTCACATTGATGGTGACTGCGCTCGCTTTGTATGGACGAGCTTCTTTGATCCACTGTTTGATCTCTTCCGGACGTCCCTTTGATGCCAGCCAGTTTGCACGAGAACCATCCGGGTAGCCCAGGCGACATTCAAATGCAAGCCATGAGTTGACGAGAGCCTTCCAGGCTCCAACGCCAGTAACACCGGTGAAGTATTGTTTCGCATCTTGAACCCAGGTAGGAAGGTCAGCCTCGCGAATGCATGGCTCCTCTGTGACAACGGTAGGCACGGGGGTTGGTGCAGATGCAGAGATCAGTGTCGGAACAGAAATTAGCGCAGCACTAGTCATGAAGGACGAGGTCGGTGCAGCGCTAGTCATGGGGGACAAGATCAGTGCGGTGTCCTTAGTCGCAGAGGAAAGGGTCGATGTGGAAGTAATGGTTGTTGCAGGAGCAGGAGTCAGCGCAGTGCTACTTGTAGAAGCGGCGGTCAGCGAAGATGCTTGAATAGAGGTCGATGTAGAGTCTGTCGCACTGGAACCTTGCCCAAAATCTGACGGACCCGCAACGCTGGTAGCGAGTAATTGACTAAAATGCATAGATTAGCGAGATCACAAACGATTATGCAGACTACCGACATACCTGCGATCAATAGCCGAAGTCTGATTTAACACTTCAGATCTGCCACGCTCTCGCCCTTTCCCTTTCTTGACCTTGGCCTTGAGCTTCGCTAGATCATCATTGAGGCCTGATTGCTCGAACAGGGCATGCACTGCAGCAATATTCTGCTCTCTTTCATTGTCAAACTCGTATGGATCTGTTGAGGACTCGTGTGCGGAGCTGGCATGTGCTGTAACTAAGAGTGAGTCTTCATTCTCTTTTGAGGTTTCGACAGACTCCGAGGGTGCACGAGTGGGCTGGGAGTCGAGAGTGCCAGAGCGTGAGGCAGGAGTACTGGCCTTCGTGGAGGAGCTTTCTTTCGTGTCAGGTAACCCCAGTCTCATCTCCCAATCAGGCGCTGTAGAGTAAGTTAAGTACTTCAATGAAACCACACTGCACACAGCCCAGGGCACTCACGATAGCATTTCTGTACGAACTCACGAAAGGGTGCCTCCACTTTCTCCATCCAATCAGTGCCGATGATTTGCGGAAATGTGTGACCTGAGTCCCTTGTTATCCCCGTATGGTATCTGGTTACTCCGGGTGTCAAGACAGAATCAGCCAAGTGGAGGTGGGCAACATACGCCATAGTCCTAATTTTTTTGAGCATCGGGTGTGGGCCACCACAGATGATCATTGCTTTCCACCCAGTTTGCTCTTCGATTCTATCGAGAGCAACTTTCACCGTGCGTGCAAGGTTGTCAATCGCACTAATTCGAGAGTGAGCAGATTATTCTAGCATCCAGAGAAAAGGCACATACTCGGACATCTCCTTTACTTTTTTCTGCTTCGCATTCTGTTCCTCATTTGGCAACACCTCATCCGCCTCTTCTTCGAAGTTAAACGGTGCTACACTTGATGCATCCCGATACTTCTCGACCTCGGCCTTCACCTCCTCCGTCTCCTCCATGAGTAGCTGCTTGACAAGCTCATTGCCCCATACCCACTTGTTGCGAGGACCAGTGCCAGATGGAAGAGTACTGAGGTACGTTGCATACTTTTTGTCGATGACTGGCCGTAGTTTCTCTGTATAGAGCTTATAATAGGCTTGATACGGGTGCAACTTCTGCTTGCGGCTCTTTGTCAAGTCGAGTACCTTCTTCGAACCACTGCCGGATGATGTAATGCGTGTATGGTTATCAAACCACCATCGCAGGCGCTGCAACATTCCGTCAGAAGCTGTGAGGATCAGGTGAGTTGCATTGACGTACTTTCTTCATCTTTTCTGTTACAATGACATTGGCAGCCTCTTTGCTGCCATTTGCCTGCTGTAGCTCCTTTGCAGTAGGTGGATCAATACCAAACTTGCCGAACCAAGCTTCAGAGGTGGACGACATGAAAGCGGAGGTCGTTTTAGTCTCTTGAGCATTCAAGAATGCCGTCCTTTTGTCTTCCAGCCATTTTTTTTGTAATTCTGATGTCCATTCTTTTCCAGGCATCACTAGCAACAGCGAGGAAAGGGAACGAAGTCGAATGTGTGAGGTGTTCACAGGTGTGTCGCACGAATTATTCAAAAAATTCTAGCGGCTGACGCCACTATTTACCGGGTGCAATGCCACTCGGGCTGCAGATACAGCGACAATTGCCGGAAACTGCAAAAATGGATAAAGCAATTCTCACTGTCACAGCTTTCATCTCTAGATAGCAAGCGGAATATTCTGCAACCTCTAGCTCTCATCCTCTGCATATGGCTCCTTCCGCATCTCCACCTTTGTCGGTCCTGTCACTGCACTGTCTAACGCCAAGGTCCCAACAAGATCACTGTACTGCCCGTTGACTGGTCACACACGGCATCTGCTGCCCGACATTCGGAGCACTGTCCTCCTTTTGCCAATTTGCTGATCTGTGGCGCATTTGAGTCTTGGCAGCGGTCAATGTACGCCACCATGTCTTCATTGCCTCTTCCCAGTCTAACTCCAGCTTTCTGCACCGTAGCGCAATGCATATAACTGCGCTCCCAGCATACTCACCTGCTAGCAAGTATACGACGTCTTCCAGAATGTTGCCTCGACCGCATATATTTAGAGCGTGACACTATCAACGCAGTCAATAAATAGACACTGGAGCCCTCAAACTTGGACAGCGACTTTCAACTGGAGTCTCTCATCGGACCGCTTGAGATTAACAGTACGTGGGAGGCCTTCATGAGTCGAATTTGTTTCTTCTGATATTATTTCATAGCACCGCCATCTGAGTCTTTGGCAGGGGATGAGAAGCTGCCATACCTGGGTTACATGCGACGGTGATACGCAGTTATCACAAGATGCAGAACAGGTGTATTTCGTGACGAGTGAGTCGCATATCTTGCCTTGACTGTCTTGATCAATGCTAATTCACTTGCAGTATGAAGGTCGTCCATCACGCGAAAGTCAAAGACACCCTATCAAATGGCCAGGCAATGACGAAGGCAGAAAACACGGTGCAGGTGCTTGATCACCGTAGTGACCGGTCTTAGACTTTAGTACTGCTACGCCGTATGCCTCACACTGTGTATCACAGATAATGTAATATATATATATATGTTCTGGCTCACAAACAGCGTGCTCATAAGTAGAAGAACGACATTTAGAAGCCGTAAACCTTCTGAAAGTATGTCTTATTCACTCTAGATGATCATTCTGGGGATGAGCAGTTTTAAATAAGTCATCTGGGATAACCACGCACCCTCGCCCGAAGATAGTCAAGGCACGATCAGTGACGGCTTGTTCATACTCGTGCGTGCCCTGCTGTAGAAGCCAGGACTCCTGATGATAAACGGCAACAAGCCGGCGAGTGCAATGCAGATCAGTGCTTCCGGTGATGAGCAAGTTCTGCATCCTGATGTCGAGTTCTACCAGATAAACGTGCAGCCATGTACTAGGACCGTGCGCTCTGATGAAGTTGAACTTGAGGTCTTGCAATTCCTTCCATAGCTGGTTCTCTGCACGAGCCATTTGCGGTGTCCGTTCGCGGTCATTCTGACTGGATTTACGAGCAATAGGATTGTCATATATGCTGTGCATGCTTCAGTCGTGCAAAAGCGAAACTAACATAATGCTAACTGCTAATTACTCACCAGCGTAGACCGTGGGCTTCCTGGCGCATTTTCTCCCTCAAAGCGGCCTGATCCCTCCTGCTCAATTTCCTGCGAGAGGCTCGAATTCCTGCATTGTAATATCGCTGATACTGCAGACGTGCCTCACGGTGCCTTCAGATGAGACTGTACAAATTAGCAAGCAGCAATGAAGCGAATATTGCAGTGGAGAAATTGACCTGGTGTAATATGTTCTTGACGGAAGTTCAAACAGCCAGTCATTACTGTCTTCAATTGACTGGGTCATAGGAGTGTGAGTGTGCATAGATGAAGCCAGACGCTGAACGTTCAACGTTCAGCCCACGCGCGAAGCACTCGATGGGTGGCGTAAGTGTGTCGTTCGATGCAGTCAAGCTTTACTGTCGCACCAGATTCTTGCTAGGAAGCGTCCATTTTCTATAGATAGCTGGGGGCATTGCTGACGAAATTTCTTAAGCTTTTTTCAGATTTTTCCACCCGAAGGTTTTGCAATGGAAGTGCGAACATGGTGTTTTCTGCGGCCGCAAAGCACGGACCAAGGAAGCGCCGAGCGTGACTGTCCTCCCTTGTCAGCGCGTATGCCCTTGTGGCCGTACTCTCTCCTCCTAGCTCAGATCGGAAGTCTCATCAATATCTACAGATTTCGTATCTGTTCTGAGGCGTACTACTTTGTCTCATAGCTTTTTATTCAAGTATCTGTTTACTGAGTGTCGCCCTACAATTCATCTAACCTGTGTGACCATGCCTGGTGACGCGTTGCTCAAGGGCGTCTACCACGTCCCTCTTGTCGGGCGTCGACTTGCTCGCATTGGCCGTCTGTGCACCACCGTCTCTATCCGTACCATGATCTCGCCTCAGCTCTTTGTCCTCCACTATTGCGACCTGCGCGCTCGGACACTCCTCCCTGCAGCGCAACCGGTGCACCAATGGCGTCCGCTTTGGATCTGGGCAGCACCGCAACCTGGACGTAACGCTCGCTATCATCATCCTCTGCAGCATGGGTCCCGGTCTCGCCTCAGTGGCTTGTCCTCTACTATTGCGACCTACGCGCTCGGCCACTCCTCCGTGCAGCGCAACTCATGCACCAATGGCATCCGCTTTGGATCTGGGCAGCACCGCGACCTGCCCGCAACGCTCTCTATCGCTGTCCTCTAGAGCATGGGTACCGAGGAGCTCGAATAGTGTCGCTGAGCGGCACCGTAGGTACGTCAGCCTGCTCCGCGCTTTGTGACCCTAAAGTCTTTAATATCACTATACTATTTCCTACGGGACGCGGGACACCTGAACGGATGCGGATAGTAGCGGATGGCATGGAGAACGCTCCGGACAGCTTCGATGCTACGGTGAGTCCTGCCCATTCCTCCTCTTTTTTTGTGGCATACATCATGCTGAATGATGTTTCGCCATGTGTTACTGCCTCACTTCATGACGAAACCCTACTCAGTGTTCTGCGATTGGTACGTTCTGTATCCCGATATTGCGCGCCGTCCATTGCTGCTCAACCTGTCTCTCCTGTCTCTCGGTGACACTGCCATCCCACATAGCTTTTAGCCTCCTTCCGTACACTCTCGGCGTGTTCTGGTCTCGTATCTCTCTTGCTCGCATTCGCGATTCTGCTCGTTTCTATGCCACTGTGCATCGCCATCTCTCGCCTCTCGCCGTGGCTTTGGGCAACACCGTGACTCGGCCGCAACGGTCTCGATTCAGCGACTCGTCCTCCACTATCGCGACCTGCGCGCTCGGCCACTCCTCTGTGCAGCGTAATCTGTGTATCACTGGCGTCCGCTTGAGATCTGGGCAGCAATGCGACCTGGACACAACGTTCGCTATCACCATTCTTTGTAGCATGGACCCTGAGATGCTCGAGTAGTGTCGCTGAGCAGCACCGTAGGTACGTCAGCCAGCTCGGCTCTTTGTGATCTTAGTGTCTTTGATATCACTATGCTATTTCCCTCCAGGATGCAGGATCCTGAAGGATGCGGATAGCAGCGGATGACATGGAGAATGCTCGGGACGGCTTGGATGCTGCAGTGAGTCCTGCCCATCCCTCATGTTTCCTGTGTGCGATTTGGTACGTTCCGCATCCCGACTTTGTGTGCCGTCCATCACAGCTCAGCCTGTCTTTCTCTGACATTGTCATTCCTCATAGCTTTTAGCCGATTTTCGTACACTCTCGGCGTCTTCTGATTCTCGGAGGTGCGACGTGGTTGTCTACGTCCTGAGGAGGAAGCGGACATCATCTAGGTATGGTTGTATATTTCGTGCTATGAGTATCGCCTTAGATACATGCATGGGATTGCTAGCGAGTGTCCTATAAATGAAATTTGTATTATGTTCAGAGCTGCCTGTCAGTTGCATGAACATGCGCGAACAGCTCTATCCACAATGCATAGCAAACGGGCGGCTACTGGTTAGTCCAAATGCGGCAGGTTAACCTGGCCACAGCTCGATGAGGCTAGCGTTCGGTGGAGTCCTCATCTATATCGACGTTTGGGCTTTTCGCTGCTTGCGTGATTCTTGCTGGGTTCTTTTCTATCATGGCTGATTCGAGCAAACGGAACGCCTCATCCCAGCGATCTCGCACGGCCAAGAAAGCACGCCGAGTGACCATCACCGACGATGAGCCCACCGTGTCTGCGAACATTCAATGGTCATATACGCTGCATACGACGAAGAGTGGGCGCCTAGGACAACGAGTCAGACACGTACAAGTCAAGCCAGCAGAGCACCCTGACTTGGAAGTTCAAGACGACTATGGGGACGGAGCTGCTTGCCGTGCAGATGACAACGTCGTACTGGATAGCATGGACCCCAGAGAAGGAAAAAAGAAGAGAGATCGCAGCGATAAACGCGCATCGGTATGTGAGCAATTGACGACAGTAATCCTTTGCTGACCATGAGTCTAGGAGAAAATCTTGTCCTGGCTACCTTTTCGCGAAACGTTTCTGGACGAGCTAATCCGTATGGATGGGCTTGCAGATGCATTCCCCCTTCAGACCTGTCGAAACTGCACAAGCTTAGGAATATTCCGCTGCCATGAATGCACAGGGAAGCCTCTCCTGTGCAAGACGTGCATTCTCAGTGCTCATTCCGATCTCCCGCTTCACCGCATTGAGGTATGTCATTCATCCTTGCTAAAGCTGCTTATTATTTCAACTCGCTCATGCATTCTCAGCATTGGAATGACAGCTTTTTTGAGAGCGCAACGTTAGCATCTCTCGGCTACATTTATCAACTAGGACATGCAGGAAAGCCATGCCAAAGTCCAAGCAAACCGTATCCACTGTGTGTATGTGACATCAACGGCATCCACGACATCAAGGTCTGCTTTTGTCAGTGTAGTGGACTCCACGAGGGCATCACATACCGCTGGCAACAACTTCTGCGCGTTGGTTGGTTCCCTGCAAGTACTGATCGAGCGCAGACCGCCTTCACGTTCCAAGCTCTCGAATTCTTTCACCATCTCACTTTACAAGGAAAGACGAATCTCTATGACTTCTTTCAAGCTCTTCGGCGGGTTACCGACAATTCCGGCACTCGTGTGGTATCGGTAAGGGTCGATTACCTTCATGATTATGAATGTCTTCTGAGCCAGCTGATAGAATCGCTACAAGCAAGCGGCACACGTCGTCCGCATATGGCGCCATATGAAGATGTTGAAGAGAGCAGGGCGTGGTCATGATCCAGATGGCGTTGACGCCACACAAGAAGGAGAGCTCGCGGTGGAGTGCCCAGCCTGTCCCCATCCTGGTAGCAATCTACCGGAAGACTGGGAGCGTGCACCTCCAGAACTTTCGTGAGTATATAGATGTGTCTTATCGTGCATTCTCTCTCACACAGATTGCTCAATCCAGTTGGCTGTACGTACTATTTCTCATGGTGGATGCAAACTTCCGCATCCGCTGCAAAGACCGAGGTTTGACCGATGTCCATCTGTCACCGGGTTGGGCATACTACGTGGAGGAAGCGTGCTATCTGAAGCATGTCGAGCAACACGCTCACTTAGAGGAGGTACGTGTGGAAGCATTGTCTCCCACTGAGCAATAGCATATTCAGCCATATTCTCATAGGAGAATACCTGCACTGCGGAGCACAATGCAATAATCAAAGCAAATCTTCGCAAGGAAGGCTACCTGGCATCTGGAGTGGGTGCCGTGCTCTGTGCCCGCCATGCATTTGTCCGCAAGAAGGGAGTCGGAGACCTTCAGAAAGGAGAAAAGTGAGTCGCTTATCGCATCGTCTGCACTGTGGGTGAAATCCTGATGAACGATAGATTCTGCAACATCGACTATCTCATTCTATCCACCCTCACATCGCTTGTTCTCCTCTGGCTCTTTCTTACCTACGACATTGCGTGCCAGTTTAGCAAGAACTTCCAGAAGCGAAATGCTACGTACCGTGAAGACCTCCATCTCGACTTTGATCGTATCAATATTCGCTGGGGAATACCGAAAAAACATCTTCCGGCTCACGGCCCCAACCATGCGCGATATTCTCTCAACTATGTTCGGCATGTGGGACGCACGTATGGCGAGGGCATCGAGTCGAGCTGGTCGCACATGAATCCAATCGCAATGAGCGCACAGGAGATGGGACCCGCGATGCGTCAAGAGGTACTTGACGATCATTGGGGTGCATGGAATTGGGGAAAGATAATCAATCTCGGTATGTTCTTCCATTGCTTGGGTCGCATAAGCCCTCATGTCACACATGATATGGTTCCAGGCAAGCACATGCAAAATTCATACAAGGAGGCAGTCTCAATGCGCCAGAAGCACCGAGATATCTTCAACGAATTCACGGATACATTTGCACCGGCAGTAATCAAGGAATGGGAAGATATTCATGAGGCCTGGCAGCAGAATCACGATCATAAGCCTGACCCTTTCGAAGAGCCAACCTCCAGTACGTCTTCACATATTGATGTCGCTCGACAACGTAAATGATGGCGCATATAGCGTGGACGATGAATGCAGTACGCCTACAACTGGCACAAGAAGATGCCGCCGAAGCTGCTCGTGGACATATAGCACCTCATGAAGTGACTGCCAGTGTATTCCTTCAGCTCGGCTTAGAGCTAGAAGGTCAAGTGTATGTAAAAGCATCATAAATCACCGTACCAAATTTAACAGCATCATAGCCGTGTATCACAGCTCAAGTCTATCGGGAAAAGTGACGCCATGCGTGCTGACTCTCAACAGAAACAGAATGCGCTGTATCATCGCATTCAAGGGTGGCGCACCTTGCAGGACATTTACATGCCCATAGCGGCACAGCTACGTGCTCCGTACATCAGCATTGAAGAAATAGCGGAAGAGCCAGACCATGCAGCTAACGACATGAAGCTGTGGTTGCCATCATCCCTTTCTGTTGACTTGCAGAGCTCCGAAGCAATGCGTGATCTTGTCATGAAGGAGACACGGCTCCGCATTGCTCAAGCTGATGATGCACTTGCAGAAATTCGTCGGTTACGTCGTGTTCTCATGGAGGTCCGTCAATTCCGCAAGATGAATGTATCCGGCACTGGACAAAAAGCAAATACGAGGATGCGTACATTGTTTACGCGTTTCACAGACAAGATCCAGCGTGCCACCTCCACCTATCGTGTCGCTCGTGCTGCTCTCTTCGTACTCGATCCTGGTGGTGACTGGTCAAATCGCTTTCTTGTTCTGGAAGATAAGCACATCTCTGGACCAAGGCGTGATGATGATGGAACAGGAGAGGGCCGGTATGAGCTATCCTGGATCTGGTGTGTCAAACGTCCAGATGGGACCACTATTAGTGAGGAGGTCTCGAATACCAGTGAGTACAATGATAGCATGCGTGTCGAGTGGGCACGTACAAAGGCACGGGCAGATAGATGGGCTGAGGAGAAGGAACTTCTGGAGGAGGAGATGCGACGAGTGATTGAGTATCTCAGGTGGAAGGCGAGATGGTGGTGTCAGCATGCAGATGAACGCACTGACGTTTCTCCATCCCTGGCATGTGGGCTTCATGCCTATGCTGAAAAAGAGGCTGCAATCTTTCAAAAACTCTCCATCAAGTTCACGTCCATGTGGCTGCCTTTGCTGCACAAGGCTGGCACAGTTCCAGAATGGGTCAAGGATTTTACAGATGCAGTGTGCAAATCTATTGAAGAGGAAGGCTCTGAGGATGACGTTGAGGCTGAGTCTGACATTCCTGAAGATGATTTGTAGTATCTAGATAGTGCTTAAGATTTATGTGCTTGTCTTATGGCTGGTTTCACTATATTAAGATCCAAAATTCAAAAAATATATTGTACCCAAACTCAGATAATTATTGACAAATTGAATTTTAATTTGCATTATATACAAGGTTCACTGCAAGCCATGAGAAGAAAGATGTCTATGGTGTCCCAAATATACCTGAAGCTTGAAGCACACTGTGCTGCTACTTGATTCAGTTGGATGCACCACATTTTGTAGAGCCCTGTGAAATGAAGCACAATGTCAAGAACGATTGATAATGTGTAAAATATATATCAGCAATCAAATACAATATTGATCAACCATCTCTGGGTAAATCACAATGTCAAAAAATGCTCCACCAGATGATTGACATTGTCAAATAAGTGTGACGTGAATTGTTCACAATTATCTCCAAGTGATTCACAATGTTATACAATGGTGAGGATATTGTAATATGTTATATGACCCTGCAGCAATAATGTCTCCAGAATCATTGACAATATAGATATATATAACAGCAGTCAAATACAATGATGATCAATCATCTCTGAGTAATTCACAATGTCACAGAATGCCTCACCAGATGATAGACATTGTTAAATGAATGTGACATAAATGGTACACAATTATCTGCATGTGATTCAGAACATTATATAATGATGAGGATATTGTAATACATTGTATTAACCTGCAGAAAAATGCCTTCAGAATGATTGACAATGTAGATATATATAGCAGCAGTCAAATACAATGTCATAAAATGCCCCACCAGATGATTGACATTGTCAA